CAAAGAATATTTTTACGATGAGGTGTAAACAACCAGGAAATGGAAATATTGCGAAATTGTTCAGAGATCTACACTCCATTCCAATTCTGTGGAGATTAGATTCATATACACGTATGCATATCGAAGAAAGTTACCACGAAGATATAGATTTTGATAAACTAACCTTCTATGCTAACCCTTTCAATCGATTGCAGAACTTCCTGTTTATAAACATCTATTTCAGTCCGTGTTTCGTAAAGCCAACGCAAGCCTACATTTTTATTCTAACCAAGACACCCACGGTTTGGCAAGGTTGGGGCTTTCGCACATGGATAGTGCGGAGACAATGCATGGTAAAAAGTGGTACGCAACCACGCGACATGTGATATTTAAATTTCAGGGCTACCAGTTTATAACTTGTCATTCTGAGACCTTCATATCGTTTAAATTTTATATAGCGCCTTTTCAACATTTAGTTTGGGGAATGCTTATCGGTTCACTTCTCATGGTTTCACTTGTACTTAGATTGTATATAAGGTTCAAAAATATAAATTCCTACGAGGCTTTTTGTCCTTGGACATTTGTTTTGGCAAATATATTCGAAGAAGCGGTCCACGTTCCTATGCACCTTGAAAAACAACAATTTTACAGGATGGTAGTTGGGGGTTGGATTTTGATGGCCGTTATATTAACGAATTGCTACAATGGATTAATGATTTCCAATTTAAATTCCCCACTTCCAAGGACAAATATCCCTGAAAAATTTCAGGATTTGGTATGCCAAGATGGAGAAATTCTTAAATCATACAGGCAAGGGGCTAATCTAACCGATTGGATTTTACAAACGATAGGTCAATTATTTTCAAAACCTCTTAAGCCTGTTGATTTATCTATATGCTACAAAATATTTTCTGACCCAGATCATAAACATGGTTTTGAGTTTCTAATGTTAGTTGTTGATACGCTTACAAAAATAAGTCTTCGTCAAAGCGAGATAGTCATAAGTTCGAATCTCCATGACTTACCCCCACAGCAATTGATGGAGGACATATGCTTTGACGATATTGTCATCCTCCTCCTTAGCAAGTTAGGGGAGAATTTACTGAACGAAGGAACCTTTAACTTTTTACCTCATATGGGAGTAACATTTGGAAATACGCCACAAGTAAGGACATCAATTACAGATGAGGTTGCCAAGTGTGGAAAATCTGTCCTAGTTGTTGACGCGTTTGAGACATTATTTAAATTTGATGATATGACCAAGCAATATTTTTGGAGAAAATTTTATAAGGGCAAGGATATCTTAAACTTTGCCTTGGTCGGCTGGACATTTGAAGGAGAGGGTAATTCAAAGGTGCCTCAATATTTTCAATCTTTATTCGAATCTGGGATACAAGGCCGTCTAGATTTGGAAATAATGATGAGAAAGTATTCTCGTAATTCGAATTACACCATTCCAAAACGTGAAGACGATTCGGTCCGATTGGGTGGAACGATTTTAACTCTTTTTATACTATACGGGGTCTTAGCTTGTTTATCTGTATTGCTTATTATCTTTGAGTTACGTAACATTTTGCACTGGAGAGTTTTCGCGCGGGTTTTAAAAGTTAAACATGTCTTTAAAATATTTTTTCGAAATGTTTGTCGGCGTTAAACTCCTTGCAGAATGCGATAATTGCATTAGGAACAACTGTATTTATAGTATTAGTAAAGAAATGCATGTATAGTGAGAGATTTATTGACTGTTGCCTTAAACAATAATAAAACAATAATAAAGGCACAATAAAGGACTGACCCCAAAGCTAGCATTTTCCATGGGAATATACTATTGCAGGGACTGTCCGTACTGTAGGGGAAGGGAAATCAGTGCGGGACATTATTTAATTTGTCCTCATTTTTCACCTTTATGGAATCTAGTATGCAAAATTTTAAATATTCCCTCAGACGCCAGAACCTTACGTTCTGTGCAAAGAGGTACTGGGGACAAAATTGTCGATGCCATAATCTTTACGGGTATCTGTTCCGTATATAAGTCATTTGTCCATATTTTAAATGGGTTTTCTGGGGATTTCGATTTTGTGAAATTTTTTAAACATAACATTTTTGGGCGAATTTTGGGAGATTACCACTTTGTTCTGAAAAATGGGTCTGGCTCTGTGGAAGGGTTTCACAGAAAATGGAAAAGGTTCAAACTCTACCAGGTGAGTAAAGGTAAAATCAGTATAAACATAAAATGAATCTTTACTTTACAGGTCGTGCATGAGTATTAGCATGGGTTGCCATGGAAACAAATAACAATAATTTTATTACATATTGTTCTAGATATTTAATCAAACGTTTTATTAAATTAATTCATTGCTATCTTCTAATGTTTAAATATTTACAGTCTGGAGTTATATAAAAATGATTCCAGGCCTCTTTACTAAATATAGTTTGCATGGTATCCATGACAACCAGTTTCCCACTCTTTATTATGTCTACTATATAATTTTAAATAAATCTAAATTTTAGTTTGTAGACTATCTTTATCGGTAAAAATATAAACAAAAACATGTGGTCATTAAGCAGAGGGAGTTGAGGCGTTGCTTAATCCCTACCCTGATGGCATAAATGTAAAGTCCTCCTCCGAAGAAGAGCCACCGCCGTGGGACAGCGTTTTTTCGGATAGGCACTTAATTTTAATGTTTTTATGAATATCCATGAAGATTCTAGGAAATCAATACAAATATGCCGCTGTAATAATGTTTCGGATGATTCGATACCGTTGACGGTATCGAGTGATCCAATATATTGTTGTGGGACACTAGAAATATCCATTTTCCTGTCACTTCGACACCTTTTGCATGTTTATGTTTATAATGCATGACCATGAAATCTAAATATGCTAATTTTTGTTCATACTGTGACTATTTTTAGATAGTTTTAGTTCATCACGGTATGTACGAAAAATTTAACTTTGAAAAAATTTTTGCTAATAAAAGCTCAAAAAAAATATATATATAAAAAAACAATAATAAAATTGGTTAACTATAACACTAATAATAACACAAACAATGGTTAATAATAAAATAAATATCACATATTTGTGTTAATTATTGTATGAGTGCTTATTTCTAACTTATCTTGTGTCCTGTTCTTCACGTTCCCTGAACTACGTCTTTTCCACTAAATAATTTGATCTTGAAATTATTTACTGACATTTTTTTGTGCAAAAATTTAAGATGTTGTATGACAACCTGTATTTTCTTCATAAACTATATTTGTCATAGGATATAAATAAATTAAGGTACGACGGAATCAATGGATTAAGTATTGTATATTAATCCTAAATATAAGTTGAAATAGTTGAACGAAATTATTAACATAATACATACATCTTGTGTAATTAACGCCCAAATTTTAAGATCTTTTCATAATGATCTGTTTTAACAGATATCTACATACATCGTCCCTGTAAATCGATAATGTGTTGGAAGCCTAAAACGCCAGTCGCAATACACCCCAAACAGTTTTGACACTTTATGCCTTGGAACTATATACTATATATATACTATATATACTATATATACTATATACTATATAAACTGGAAGGTGGAGTTTACATGAGAGACTGGGTATCATTACGTTACTCACGTGATGTGAGCAACAGCGCCCAAATCGTCGAAAGATTTTTTGGCAACCACCAGCCGCTGTGCTTGCTCACCAGGATGCAGCTCCAGCAAAGTACAATTTTCCGCGATTACATTAGCCGAGTGAGCCGAATTAACATTAGTTTATTTTATTTTGGCGTTCAAGTTATTCAATTTGTCAGAATTTGAATAATTGAATAATTTGAACGCCTAAATAAAACAAACTAATGTTAAATAATAGGATAATTCGGCTCATTCGGCTAATGTAATCGCGGAAAATTGTACTTTGCTGGAGCTGCATCCTGGTGAGCAAGCACAGCGGCTGGTGGTTGCCAAAAAAATCTTTCGAGGATTTGGGCGCTGTTGCTGATTCACATGCGATTTATTTTGTTTTACATTTGAGCAAGGAGCCACTACGGTTGCTTTATGCTTCCAACCTGCTTCCAATTTTGCTCTTTATGCTAAAAATTTTGCACAATTTGCATCTACAGCGACGATATTTTTGCACGTAAGTACATATATATACATTTACATAAATATGTATATGTACGTATTGTATGTACTTATTTATGCATAAATTAGGCAAATTAGTGATGTATATACGTGCATAGTGCATAATTAAACAAATGTGCACACTTATAAATAAATCTTATATTGTCAGATTAGTTTTCTGTATTAAAGTTGCTACCTGGTATTAGGTATTAATTAAAAGTATACCGGTCCATAAAAATTCACTACCGATATGGTGAAGGTTTAGTTTCGAGCTACTTATAAGTAGCACGTTGGTAGACTTACATACGTACATACATATGTATGCACAACGATCGGTATTATCTTAATCAATCTTTCTAATAATGCAAGCACAACTAGCGCTTACTTTGATTACCTCGACAATTGATTTAATTATCCTGCAGCACTTATCGTGAGTTCGGACACTTTATCAGTACTTTGATATGAATCATTTGCGTCATACTTTTGCATGGGTTCATTATTTTTGCATGCATGAAAATCACTTATCGATCGGGTCCAGCCAGACTAACTGTCACCGATTCCGGGGAAAAGGTTGAGTTAAGACTTGGGAAAATATGTATTCGCAAAAATTACAAAACTTCTTGTAAAAAACAAAGATTTGCATGTTTTTTTTTATGGATTTCTGCAATTTTTCTCGGTTGGTGTATGATGAGCTTCCCAAATAAATTTGCGATATTGCGGGATAAACTTTGAAAAAAAATCCAGTAAAAATTTTTGCGAAATTTGGCATGCTCAATTTTGCGAGATACGTTTGCATATATGTATGCATAATATGCGAAGGTTACGCGCTATGCAGTAAATATTTACATGCATTTTATTTACCTCGTCATTCTCCACTCCACTCAAACTCACTTCACTTTTGGACTGGAAACTTTCCATGGAAGAGAAATACTTACAAGATCTCTCATATATGGAAACTTTCCAGCATTTCGTTTACGTGCCGAACTCCACCGACCTGCTCAATGTTATATTTTTGCTTAGTCATGTGTTTCCTCTCGAAAGAAGAAGAGCAGATTTTTTGGTCAACATGTGTACGTGTGATTAATGATTAAAAGTAAGATGGATCAGTTATTGAGTCAGAAAAGAGAAGAATTACAGGTAAAAAAATTGGCTACATATTAATTACTTTGAGAGAGAATTTAATTACGTGAAATTGATAATTTATAGGATTTCTAATCGAATGGAAATTATTATCATGCCGGTTGTGGTCTAACGAGGAGGTGGAAATTTAAGGTACAAATTGATTTATTTATTTTCGAATTGTTGTGCAGTTTTGGAAGTTTATTTCCACGTGGTATTATAAAAAGTGAAAGGGTTTTGATTCCTGTACGGAAGTAAGATTGACGAATTACATATAATTGTCGCATAATTAAAAGTTTAGAAAATTGCAATTGATGGATATTTAGTGAAAACTTGTTCATGACATGCAAAACCGGCTTTGCTAATTTTTGTAACTGGTTAAAAACTGGTTTTCAATTTTAGCGAACATGGATTTATCATAAAGACCGGTTTTTCTGTCAGATTAAAAACAGGGTTTTGATTTTTTATAAATAATACACATTTTTTACGAGGATATGTAAATTTATTAGTAACATATTTCTTATAAAAGTTTCCGGCAAAGTCGAAAGCTGTTTTATGAAAATTTTACGAATTTAGTAATAGTCAAACAAAAGGTTATAGATATTTTCAAATTTACAAATACGCATTTAAATATTTGCAAAACATTAAGGATAGACGACTTCATACCGCTGTTTGTAAACCGTGCAATTTTTTTTATGCACGAATTTACATACAATTCCCAGACAAACTTGTAACTCATAAATGTTGTTTAAAAATAATGTTTACAAAGGCGCATTCAAACCGGATGCGTGTAAACTTTATAAACATAGCAATAGGCAGCTACATAAATAATTGCAAAAAAATGACAATATTTTCAAGGTTCGCCTTATACATACATGCATATTTAATATTTTAAAAGTAAAAGTATGTGTCCTTCAATTTTGCAAAGGTTACGAATGTGACGTAGCTATTTACATACATAGGTACTTTTAATGACACACGTAAATATGTACATACATACATACGTCGTTTTCCATGATGCATTTTCCCTTACTATGCCAGGGTTACAAACGTTACGCATTTTAGGATAATATTCTTCTTTTCACACTTCCGATCTTCGTCGTCGTCAATTTTCTTCACAATTCTTTTTGCATACGAACTTGTGGCTAAAATTTTTCTCTTGCTACGAAAATATGTCCGGCACGAAATTTTTACCAATGCTAACAAATTGCTCCCCCTCCCCCCAAAATTTACAGGGGTATTACAGTCTGATTATTTCCCCAATTCTGGCAGGTCCCCGGCGACAAAGAAAAATTATTTCCAAAATAAACCCACCAACTAAGAAGAATTTATTTATTCAAATTATTCAACTAAGGTTAGTAAATACATATATAAATTATCAATTAAATATTAATATTTACAATTCACGCAGCCCTTGGTAACTTTGTAAAATCCGTGTGCTTTTCAAAATGATTTTGCAAACTTGTACAAAATAAAGAGACGTCCTTGATCTGAGCAAGTTTATAAAAATTTGTGAGAAAATTTTTCTCACAAATAGTTCCAAAATTTTGTAAATGTTTGTATATAAGGTTACAGAATTTACGGATTTTACGAAGTTACCAAGGCCTGCGTGAAGTACATATTATTATCAACATTAATATGAATCCTGCTAATAAAATTTCTGAACTTTTTTTCAGTTTCCATCGCAATGTTTCCCCTCGTCCTCCCCCTCCTCGCCATCTCCACCATCTCCCTCTTCATCATCCTCATCACAAAACAAATCCGGTACGGGTCCGGTCGCGAAGTCATTCTGAACCTTTTCTGTGACCTCAAGGGACGCCGCCACCGCTGGGTCACGGACCCTACGCTGGCCCGACGCCTGCTCGGCTCCTCCTCCTCAAAAGGCATCGGGATCGAGCACCTCCTCAGCTTCCAAGCCTTCCGCCCCATCGTCTCCCTCGAATCGGTCAACGACTCCCAGTGGATGCGGATGAAGGAGAATTTCCTCACGCTAAAAACACACCTCCCCCCGCTCGAAAAACTAGCCGAAATAGCCGAAAATAAGACAACCCAGTACCTTAATTCCGACCAAATCCTTCTCATCGACTCGCCAACGCTGGTAAAAATCCTGGTAGAAATCATGCAAGCCTGGCTTTTCCACGGGGACAGCGACCCAATTCCCCCCGCGCTTCTCTCCGCGATTGAAGAATGGCGCAAAGAAATCGCCGTTAAAGGGAGGGGCGATCCTAACCTGAAACTTTTCGCGGTAAATTGGATCCAACACAAAATTAGGGGAAATTACTACCACGTGTTTGAAGAGAATTGGTCCCACGAGGAGTACTGGTCCCTCCTGTTGCAGCCTTTTTTCGTATCGCCTGCCATAAATTTGGCGGACATTGCGACCACGTTGGCGTCGTCCGAATTTCGGGAGGAATTTGGACTTGAAGGGAAGAAGATTGATAAGGGGGCGCTGGAAGGACTGCTCTTATCCGGGATAAGGTACAATCATCCCTTCCCGGTGCTAGAAAGATGGTACCCGGACGGGCTAAAGGACGGGGACCAAGTCATCGTTGATCCGAATACCCACGTGTTCATCCCGATGGATAAGATTGGTCGGGAAGGGGGCAAGGTGGGGGAAAAGTGGGTCGCTTTTGGGGTGGGAAAGCGCGCCTGTGGGGGACGCGAGGTGGCGATGACGTTATGCACGAATATCTTCTACCCGCTGATGACCCATGAAAAGGCGGGGGAGAAATTTAAGCCGTGGGTGGGGCATGCATTTTCCGGGAGGAATAATGACCAGAAGGAGACGTGGAGACAGACCTGGTTTCAGGTCAAGTTGTTGGTTAAGATATTGTGGAGGTTGGTGTTACATAAGGAGTAAAGATGTGTAGAGTGGAGGGGATAATTTAATGGAAATGTCTGTGTATTTATATGGAGTGGAAATTTAGTCACAAATTTAGTGTATTTATTGTGGGGATAAAAAGTTAATAAATAAAGCGTATTTTTGATTGATACATGATTATTTGTCGATAATGCTTATTTATGCTGTATTTGCATACAAAAAATAAATATTTATTTATACGATTTGTAATTCCTTTAAGTAATGCACAAATTTACTGCTACTCTACACTCGTCATACTTTTGGTCGAAGGAAAATGGGAAGGAGCATTAACAATTAAAGTTTATTAATGTGTGGGAATTTATTAATGAAGTTTTTTATAATTTTATAATTTTATAAAAATACGTGATTAATCTTATTTAAATTTTTTATTATCATAATTACATTTAAGATTATAATGACTAAAGATAACCTAACAAAGCGAGAATTAGGCATTTGGTATATATGTGCATATCTACATAGGTAAATACATACGTATTCAGAACTGTAAAATGACGCATTTTTTGCGCAAAAAACATTTACAAATATGTGCAAATATTTTAAAATATTTTCACATTGATTCTAAGATATTCTACTTGTTTTAATTCCAGACAAAATTCTGAGACTGACCTGTACAAGCCGAACCCCTCAAATTCCATGGATTCTCACACTGCCGACCTCGAGAGAAAGTATGGCTTCGGTACCGTCCGGTTATCCATCCTCCTCCTCATTCTCGCCTCCCTTGATGATAACCCTTCCATACCCTGGCTCTCTATCTGGATAACCTACGGAATCTTCGGTGTGGGCGGAGCGCTCCTAAACCTACATAAACTCTCGCTAAAATTCCAACTAGTAATTTTATCCATCCTAATCGCCAACTTTATCCATGCGTCCGTCTCACCACGTGGTCCATCCGGACGTGAAGTATTGTTCATGTACTTCTTCAAAACGTTACTAGGTGACGTATTTTCCGGCAAAATAGATCATTCCGTCTGGTTCAAATCTATCGGAGTAGCACTAATTTTATGGACCCTACTTTCTAGTCGATTAGTATCTTTGTTGCCAAATTTTTGGCAAGTGAGTGTAATTTTGCAGGGAAATTGGCCCCTTTTCGGACCACAGTTAGCCTGTCACTGGTTGTGCGAAATGGGTGATAATTACGGCGAAAAGTATGCCTTCTTTAGACACCGGATTTCCTATGAAATTTCCTGTATTGTTATTTACTATTTATTGTTAAGTTATGGAAATGGTGGGGTTGGAACAGCCTTACTGTTTTCAGATATGATAGCGTCGTTACTGTATCGAGTCACAAATTATGTATGGGTCAAAATATTTAAGTGAATAAATGATTAAATTATTGTAAATCATATGGAAATTGTATGAAAACTGAAAATACATGTATTTATTAAAATCTATATACGTAGCAATACAAATATTACAAATAAGGGGCCGTCCATAAATTACGTAACGCAAAAATCGTCATTTTTTAGACCCCCCCCTCCCCTCTCGTAACGGCATCGTAACGCTTCTCGACTACCCCCCCCCCCTCCCCCTTCGTAACGTAACATAAATTTGATTTCACCGCAGGTGATTTACTTAGCATTCGCAATGCATTGTGGGGAATTTTGGGGCCGCACCGATGAAAGGAAAGGGGGGTATCTCTCATTCTGTTACCACAAAATAGAGCCAAAAATCCAGTTTATTTTTACCTGTATAACCAGGTTATATCGGTTACTCCATTCTGAGATATTTAAGGTCAAACTTTTGACCGCAAACTTTTTTGCATTGAGCTAGAAAATTTGTGACAACTTTGCACTTAAATATTTCAAAATGAAGCAAATGAATTGATCTGGTTGTACATATCTATGTAAAAATAAACTAGATTTTTTGGTATATTTCTTGGTAACAGAATGAACGATGGACTCGTTACCCCCCCCCCCTTTCTTGACCGGTTCCGCCTAAAATTCCCCACTGTAATGCAACCTTTTCTCAATTTACACCTGGAAAACTAATGAAAAATGTATATTTACATGCGTACACTGAAACCCTTTGGATGACATGAATTCAATATGCTCGGCGTATCCTATTTGGCGAATTTTAGTCGAGTTTATTAAATGTGTTACGTAACAAATTTTGTATACCCCCCACCCCCTTCATAACAATTCGTAACGCACTTCCCATGATCCCCCCTCCCCCCCTCTTGCGTTACGTAATTTATGGACGGCCCCTAAACTAACTAAATTAAACTAAACTAAATTACGATATTAATATCGTAATTTTATGTGGCTGGAATGAATACTAAAGCGAGTTAGTTTATTTGTAATTGCTACGTATATAAATTTGATTAAATCAAATGGAGTACTGAGTCACAATTACTCAGTAATTGTGAATACTAATAGAAAATAATAAAGGTCTTCGTCTTCCCCTACCTCCGGGATAAGATGAGGTCATAATTTAGAGGAGACAAATAAATTAAATCGAATGATGACAAAATACAGAAAAAATGCAAGTTCAAGGTCGATCAAGCAATTAGAAAAATAGAAAATGCTTATGCAAGTACAAATTGACGTGACATTTATCATTAGCGGTATTATTTATAATCAAAAACGTTTCCTTCGCCAAATCAAACTTTATGAATAATTGCCATGAATTGAAAGTATTTATAAATGGGTTGCACTTTCGCTCTTGTTATATGACTATGACCTGATTACTCTAAAATTAAATTTACATGTACAGCCATAAATAAAATAATTTAATTGACACAACGCAAGATACATTTTAGAAGAAAAAATTCCTTTATTCAAAGCAAAAAGATAACAAAAAGAACTGCAACTATAAATAGTTGGTCAATGAATTTTAATAAGGAATGTTGAAATAATTATGTATGGAAAATGGTGAGGTTCTAATTTTAACAATTGTCTCACACATCTCCAGATTCAATCCTTCTTGTCGGGATTGAGTTGATTAGCGTGATTATCGAGATCCGCCTCATCTCCTTTCCCTTCGTACCCGGCGGCACAACCTTCGCCTGTCGGCCCGTGGTTTGGATTACATTGATTTGCTTTGTTATCCAGAGCCAGAGCCGCCTTGACCGCACCTGACTCCTTCGCAGCATCGGCCTCAGCAGCTTGGACCTCGGCGATGATCTCCGCGCCTTCGACCTCAGCGACTAGTTTCTCGGCATCGACGTCAGCGACGAGGACGACCTTCGCGGCATCGGCCTGAACGACGATCTTCTCCGCAGTGGCTTGATCTAAAAACGAAAAAAAATTATAACCCTACAATTTCAAAAACTTTCCCCAATTCCATAATCCAACCACACATTTCCAGAGCGCACGTATTCCTAATATTGTTACAAATATTTAAAATAATCTCACCCATCTCAACTTTTGCGTCCATCTTGATAACTGCTCTTCTGTTCGTGAACGGTCGTTTAGAGAGAGAAATCCTGTAAATACGACAGATGCAAACTATTAAAGTTAACAACTAGTAGGTCAACTAGTAATTTAAAGTAGACGTAGTGCAGAGAAAGTTTCCCAAAAATTTAAACTTACTAAGTAATTTTTTTGTCAAAATTGGAGAGAGAGGAACACGCACGTCCGCACAAGAACAAAACTGACGAAGGAATGAAATGGCGCTGCTGGAGCCACGCCGTGAAGAAGATGATGTATAGCCTACCGCCTGGCGCCTAGGATCATATCGCCTATCGCCTACCAGGTAATTCTTACTGCCTAAAGACCTAACGCCTACTTCTTAACGCCTAAAATATTTACCGCCTAAAATTTTTTTATTACATTTTTAAACGTTTTACACTATTCTATTAGTGGGGCACTTTGAGATTTTTGTAAAAATATCATGGCAATCATAATTTCTTCTTATAACAGTGGGGCACCTTGAGATTATTGGGGTAAAGTGTGTTATGGATTATCAAAATTATACCCCGTATTGGGATCAAGCTAGAAGTCCTAGCTAGGAGAGAAAGTGAGACACAGTCTTAGACTTTGTCTGCCTTTCCCCCACGGTGGAAAATTTTTGAGGAATATCTGTAACTAGAACTACTAGCTTGCTCTCCTAGCTAGGACTTCTACCTAGATCTCCTAGCTTTCCTAACTGAATATTTCACTCTTTCCGCGTACCTAGTATAACTATTTAACCTAACCTGCTCGCTTAAAAACGAACGATATCCCAATACGGGGCATAATTTCGATAATCCATGATACACTTTACCCCAATAATCTCAAGGTGCCCCACTGTTATGAGAAGAAATTATGATTGCCATGATATTTTTACAAAAATCTCAAAGTGCCCCACTAATAGAATAGTGTAAAACGTTTAAAAATTTAATAAACAAATTTTAGGCGGTAAAAATTTTAGGCATTAGGAAGTGGGCTCTAGGTCTTTAGGCGGTAGGATAACCTGGTAGGCGACAGGCGGTATGATCCTAGGCGCCAGGCGGTAGGCTATACATCATCTTCTTCACGGCGTGGCTCCAGCAGCGCCATTTCATTCCTTCGTCAGTTTTGTTCTTGTGCGGACGTGCGTGTTCCTCTCTCTCCAATTTTGACAAAAAAATTACTTAGTAAGTTTAAATTTCTGGGAAACTTTCTCTGCACTACGTCTACTTTAAATTACTAGTTGTTAATAGTTTGAATTTGTCGTATTTACAGGATTTCTCTCTCTAAACGACCGTTTACGGGAAGAAGAGCAGTCATCAAGATGGACGCAAAAGTTGAGATGGGTGAGATTTTTTGAAATATTTGTAATAATATTATGGATACGTGCGCTCTGGAAATGTTTGGTTGGATTATGGAAATGGGGAAAGTTTTTGAAATTGTAGCGTTATAATTTTTGTTCGATTTTAGATCAAGCCACGGCGGAGAAGATCATCGTCGTTCAGGCCGATGCCGCGAAGGTCGTCGCTCAGGCGGATGCCGAGAAACTCGTCGATGGCGCGGAGCTCGTCGCTATGGTCGATGGCGCGGAGGGGGAGATCATTGCTGAGGTCGATGCTGCGGCCAAGGCGGCTCTGGACAACAAGGCAAATCAATGTAATCCAAACCACGGGCCGACGGGCAAAGATCGTGCCGCCGGGTATGAAGGGAAAGGAGATGAAGCGGATCTCGATAATCACGCTAATCAACTCAATCCCAACCAGAAGGAATGAATCTGGAGATGCGTGAGACAATTGTTAAAATTAGAACCTCACCATTTTCCATACATAATTATTTCAACATTCCTTATTAAAATTCGTTGAGTAACTATCTATAGTTGCAGTTCTTTTTGTTATCTTCTTACTTTTTGCTTTGAATAAAGGAATTTTTTCTTCTAAAATGTATCTTGCGTTGTGTTAGTTAAATTATTTTATTTATGGCTGTACATGTAAATTTAATTTTAGAGTAATCAGGTCATTAATAGTCATATAAGAAGAGCGAAAGTGCAACCCATTTATAAATACTTTCAATTCATGGCAATTATTCATAAAGTTTGATTTAGTAAAGGAAACGTTTTTGATTATAAATAACACCGCTAATGAATGATAAATGTTACGTCAATTTGTACTTGCATAAATAAGCATTTTCAGTTTTTCGAATTGTTTGATCGACGTTGAACTTGCATTTTTTTCTGTATTTTGTCATCATTCGACTTAATTTATTTGTCTCCTCTAAATTATGACCTGATCTTATCCCGTATATTACCCATGCACATTATATAAAACATGACACGTGATACCATAAAATTCTTTTTCTTATTATTTACTATACACGAACTTTTACATGCAAAATATGTATTACATGGCCTGTTAATATGTAGACAATTATGAAATTGTTTCAGAAATTATTTACATGAAATCATGCCATAGAATTTATATAAAAAATCCACTGAGCAGATTTGAAACATTGACATTTTGTAGATTTATTGGATATTTATATTAAACAGGTAAAATTCATACTCATCCTGAAAATCACAGAGTGAATTACAAAAAGCTCAAACTGTATATTTAATTATGTAATTAGGAAATGTAAAGTATTTAAATTAATTAAATTAATGAGCTCACCCTCCAATCAATGGTTAATATTACGTACATAATCATACCAAGGGGGAACAAAAATTTATTGTATTATCCATCTTCTCCCTCAACCTTTTCATCCATTCGTTCCTCACATTTGGAAATACTCGACCCGAGGAAATCATCCCCTCCCGTGGACAAGGAGGTCACCCGGGTAACCGCGTCGGCCCAAGTGGTCATCCAGCTCGCGGTCAGGGTCACTAGTTCTGGTGAACTGGTAAAAATTCGGAGAGCAAACTTTTTCAAGGAGGGGAAAAATAGGCCGAGCCGATTTGCATATTCCTTCTCATTGGTGCCGTTCTTATCGCAAATTTCAATGTCCAAGTCGACGCATAATTCTTCCAGGGTGTCCTTAAAGTGGGAAACGGTATCGAGATATAAACAGTAGTCGGAGTCGGAGCAGATTTCCCCACTTAACGACAAAGTCTTGACGTGATGGCCTCTGGTCGGCTGGAGAAACCAGTTCAAATCGGTGACATATTTGTTCCCCCAGTTTTCAGGGTCGTCTTCTTTGGCTGGAAGTTTTGGAAGGGCTATCTTCAAGTTGGGCCAATCTGCGGGGTTTCGTATGCCGTGGATGTATCGGAAATATTGGAGAGAAGGGTTGCACGCGGAGGGGTGCCAATCATTGGGGAAATGCATGGCGGATTTTCTTTGCAGGATGGGAGTCATTTCTTCGTCCCAGTAGCGACAAACTAGTCGAGCGTTCTTCAAGTTGGGGACGGAGAGGTGGGATAGGATTTGGGAGAAAATCTGGAAATTAGAGGGGGAAAATATTGAATACTATCTGTCTAGCAGTTATCCAAAATCTTAAGGGTTCATTGTTTTCGGGATTTGAATTTTTGTGTCTCAAATTTCTTCAAGATTTTGAAACTTCTTCATCTCTGTGCATTTTTAAGAAAATGAAGTTCATCATTTTATAAATTTCGAATCTACAAATCGACCATTTTTAGGTTTCCAAAGCTCGGAATTTTGATTTTTCTAATGAGAAAGTAGAAATAAAATAGATCCATGCGAAATAAGAACTAAAATTGAATACTTTCTTATGACAGAAAAAAATCAAAATTATACTTTGTAAACCTCATAAATTTTAGATTTTTTAAAATCTTCATTTTCTTTGACCACACAAAGATGAACAGGTTCCGAAATCACAATTTAATTTTTCACTCACCAATTTATTTCGATCCGGTATGAGACTTAATTCAGTCTCCTCCTTATCCGAGTCAGAAGCTTTCTCCAAGAAATCCCAAGTTTTAGGGTGCTCCCGTTTCTAAAATTACAATGAAATTAATCATTATTATGCGAATTTCTTTTTAAATTTGTTCTTACTCTAAACGTGAAGTTGGCAAGTCCGCCGGAAACATCGTTGCGAAACTTCGTGACGGTGAATACATCACCGAAATTTAGCCTCGTTTTGACTTGGTCGTCCAGCTTTTCTCCGTTTTTAAAAATTCCGCCTCCGGCCTAAATAATTGTTAATTAATCATTTGGAAAATAGTTAATTATTAATTAAGTTAAACACAATGTACCACCAACCTCGACAGGTTTGACCCAATATGCGTCAAGATCACATAAAATTTCCAGGCCGAAACTCCAATTCCACTTTTCCGTGTTCCGGCTCGTCTTGAAAAACACAAATTCGCCCTGCGTATCCCACGAGGTGTACTTTTCGCCAATCGTGTACTACAATTAAAACACATCCAAATTTGCAATTACATAGTTAATGACACTCAAAAAAACTGGCAGTTAGTTTTAAATAAACAACAATTCACCTTTCTACGATCAACATAAGGCAAAATAACCGACCAATTATCCGAGTCGGTGTTGAATTTAGCTCGAAAAACGCCATCAGGAGTTTGGATTAAGTTTGCTGCCATTATTTTGATAATTCTGCAGCTGAAAGTACAAAATAATTATGAATTATTAGTCCTTAAATTTTAAAGTACAAAGTACAAGATTCAAACCAAAACCACTAAATCTTGTGTAATTTAACACCAATTATTGAATGAAGAGTATGTATTAAATTATGTCATGCCATTACTAATTATTTTAACAATTGGGCATCACTCTATCACAAAATTAAAAAAATTACGAAGCCTTCCATTGAATTTGGTATTTCTTCAAAAATTGGACCCATCAATGATAAAAAATCGCTTAAATTGAATCAGGAAAAAGTAATAGAATTAAATTTGCAAAAACTAACCAATTTTTTGTTACGTAGAATTAAAATTTGAAATTTATTTAACTCGTGACAAGTTTTCCTTGTAATGTGCTGATTTTTGTTTGGAATATTGTACAACCGCCGTAAAATACTCAACTGGCCAGTCGCAACCTCCCCACGGGCGCAAGCAATTCTTATGCAAATTATTATTCATGCAATTTATTTGATTTAGAGTTACCAATAATAATAATCACCTGAATGACATGTATTTAAGATGTCCTTAACTATCAGCATAACCATAAAGTGATGCCAGATTATAAAAAAATCAGGTAAGATCAGGTAAAAATTGAAATTTGTGTACATTTTCATTTATTAAATATTTACGTTAAATAACTGAGACGAGACTCATACATACTGAAAATGACAGAGGTAACAAAAACCAAAAATTGCATAATTAATTACAGCCGCAAACTTTCTTGGGAAATTCAAAGTTTTTTAATTAAATTAATCTCATCTCATCCTAAATTACTCACCGTCACCAATATCGTATTAACTAATTAATTTCAATAAATCCAAATTCATATGTATCACTCAAGAATTACTTCTCCTTCAACCTGTCCATCCACTCGTTCCTAACGTTCGGAAATATTCCTGGAAGTCCAGCTTGACGGTATCGCTCGCAGGTTGAATATCATCCCTAAAAATTACCAAATTTTCCAGAGTTTTGCAACACTGCCCATTTTCCTTGGGAAGAAGACTGTCAATCAGAGTGCTGTACGTGTCCCAAAAATCATCTTCATGACCTGCCCTTATCCACGGTTTCACGACGATGGACCTAATCCCAGGAAGGTGGCGTCCATAGTCGATACCATTGTCATCTGGAGGAAATGCGAGGCTTAACCGTGCCACATTTTTTATAAGACAAGGAACATCTTCCACTCCAGAGATGTACATTATAGGAGTCTCAAAAGCTCCAAAGTGAAGATCTAAACTTTTCAGTTTAGGAAAACATGGCAAATTGAGGATGAAACGCGACTCTTCTTCCAGTCCAGCCGTGGCGACACGAAACTTCAGAAATTCCAAGGACATGGCGAATTTTTTGAGCAAATCCTCAAACCCGGGAAGATGTCGAGTTTCCAGAGGCAACGTCAAGGTCAACTTCTTCAGGGGGTGGTTTACCTCGGTGAGAAAATTGATACCCTCCTCTGACTTGCAAGTTAGCTGAATCTCCCTCAAATTTGTGTACGACAAAGTTCCCGTAGTTTGCAAGGCTTGGACAAATCTTGACCCCTGAAAACCATCGGCAAGAATGGAGATGGAGGTCACCCCTTTAATCGCATTGGTCCAAGTTTTCATCCAGTTCGTGCTCAGGGTGGCCGGCGGCGGGTCCCCAAAATGGGTGTGGAAGCGCAGAGAAAACTTCTTCAATAAGGGGAAAAATAGGTCTCGCGGCCAAAGATAGCTCTTCCGGGGGGAATAATCTTTTGACATGTTGAAATCCAGACATAATTCTTCCAAGATGTCTTTAAATCGCGAAACGGTGTCGAGATATAACCCGTAATCCTGATCAGAGTCGATGTATCCTTGCAACGACAAAGTCTTGACGTGATGTCCCCTTCTCGGATGAAGAAACAAGTTCAGATCAGCGACATACTTAGCGCTCCAATTTTCCTCGTCATCCTTTTTGGGGGTTAAGGATGGAAAGTGCATCTTCCAGTTTGGCCAGTCTTCGACATGTCGGATTTCATGAATATATCGCAAAAATCTCATGGAAGGGTTGTTGCAAGCGTATGAACATCCACGAAAATTTATGACGCATTTCTTTTGCAGAGTGGGGGTCACTTGTTCCTCCCAGTGTCGACAAACTAGCCGAGCGTTCTTCAAGCTTCCGACAGAGAGGTAGGACAGAATGTGGGAGAAAACCTGGAAATTAATTAAGGGGGGATTTAATTAAAGGTTTAAAACATTAAAAAATGTCGTATTTCGTGTACCAATTGATTTTGATCCGGCGTGAAATTGGATCCAGTCGCATTGTCTGACGCACAAATGTTCAGTTTATCCCAATTTTTGGGGTACGTCCGTTTCTAAAATTACCACGAATTAATTAATCACTAGATACCAAAATTGGTGTAAAACGCGTTTTTACTTCAAACGTGAAGATGGCAACGTTGCTAGAAATGTCGTTGCGAAGCTTTGTGACTGTGAAAATGTCGCCAAATTTTAGCCTCGTTTTGACCTTGTCGTCCAGCATTTCGCCATTCTTAGAAACTCCGCCACCCTAAAGCAATCAAATTATTTTAGTGTCAATACATCAATTGATGAGTAGCAAAATTGTTAATTAAATAATTCAATACTATTTATCAACCTTGAAAGGTTTGACCCAATAAGAGTCAAGGTCACACATGATTTGCAGACCGAAACTCCAGTTCCACTCTTCCTCGTCAGTGGTGAAAAAGAAGAAATCGCCCTGGGTCTCCCACGAGGTGTACTTTTCGCCAATGGTGTACTAGAAGTTAAATATATTGAAATTTGCATATAATTAATGACGAATAAAAATTTGCGCATGACTCGGAACAAAATTTTCACCTTCCGACGATCAACGTAAGGCAAGATAACCGACCATCCATCTGAGCCCGTGTTAAATTTAGCTTGAAAAACCCCATCCGGTGGTGGGATTAAGTTGGCTGCCATTATTTTGATATTCCGCTGCTGAAAATGATAAGCAGTGTTTAGTTTTTTAAAGAAGATTAAATAGTCGCAAATTGAATACGAATAAAACGTCTAAAATCTTGCTTAATTAAACATCGTCAAACGATAATGGATAAGTTATGAGATGACTACAAGTGACATTACAAATTATTTTAAGATTTACGTTTCATTTGTGATTTGGTTACAAAATTTGAAATTATAAAATTACGAAGCCTGCCTTCCCTAAATTTGGTATTTTTTTTCTTTGAAATTTGTTAATACCTACCAATTCTTAAACAATGAAAAACAAGTCCACCTAGATTCAGTACAGGTAAATATTTAACGGACTTCGATTTTTTAAAAACTCACCAATTTTTTCTCACATGGAATTACATTAATAAATTTATTACCTGGTCACCTGTTCCAATGCAAACAAGCTGCCGTTAAAAAACCGCTCTGTCCCAATTTCCCCACGGTCTTGACAAATTTTTATGCAAATTATCCATGCAATTATTTTATTACCAAAAATAATCAAATATGCATTTATCAGGGATGGGCAATCCCAACAATTTCGATGGATTACGGATTACAGATTAATTAATTTAAAAATTTACATGGGATTGCTGGATTGGGATTACTTCGTTCCTGAAATAATGTGGATTACTTGTTGGATTACTGGGATAAATTAATGACGTGGATTACGGATTACGGATTACAGTAATCAGATTGCAGATTATTATCTGAATTACAATAATGTATATTTACGTATAAAGGGGTGAAGAGAAGCGAAATCCCTTTATGGAAAACTGTTGTCCGTCGGTCTGTATCCACAATAACTGTAGAACGGTTTAGAATTTCAACATGCGGTTTTCGCCAACGGGTTTCTAATTGTTGAGGTACGGATGAGTTAGAAAATGAGAATTGTAGGTCATAAGGTCCCGGTGCGGTACCACGGTGACGACGCCACGGGTCAAACTTGTCGAATTTTTTGTTTTCGACGTAGTTTCGGGCGAGGATTAATAAAATCTTCATAGTTTTGACGTGACATGACCTAGTGACCGTGTCGACGACGCCAAAGTCGAAAATGTCGAATGTCTTGGTACTTTTAGACGTAGTTTTAGGCAGGGGTTTACAAAATAAAATCTAGACATATGTAGTTTTGGCATGCCATGACCGCGTGACCGTCTCACTCCACCCCTTTGCTACATTTCGTTTGCAACGGTTTGTTCTGAATAGCGTCACACAAATATTTCATGATGATGATTAGTTCAAAAAGCAAGAGCTTGGAATGATTCATCCGACAGTCGGTTTCTTAGGGCAGACAAAAATATGTTGTAGTAAATAGACCTCTATTAATTGTTCCAGAATTCTGTAAACTTTGCACCTCTGCTGAAGAATCTGGAAGGTGGTTTAAGCACTCAAGTTCAGCAAGTGACTCAGACTCTGGAGAAGTGGCAAGATGGAGCTGTCATGCCGTTTACAGGAGCAAAGTAATCCAACAAAGTAATCCGTAATCTGATTACATTTTCCAATCTCGTAAATTGGGGATTACGGATTACACATTATTTCCAGACCTAGTTAGGATTATGGACTACGGATTACTTTAAAATGTGAATTTTTCGGGGATTACTGGATTACGGATTACATTCAATGTAATCTGATTACTTAATCAGATTAAAGCAATCCTGGGATTGCCCATCCCTGGCATTTATTTAGGCATAGTTACGTATAACCATATAATTACAATTTCATGCTAAACGCTTAATCATCAAGTAATTTTTTATATAGTTTTTGAGAATGACGGAATTTAATAAAATCCATAAAATTGTATAATTAATTACTGCGGCTAATTTAACCAGGAAATATAAAGGAATTAAATTACATTAATCATCACTCCATTAATCATTAATCATCCATTAAACTCCATTAATTACTTAAAAGTTAATACATATCACTGCACAATTACTTCCTTAATTATCAATCTGCTCCCTCAATCTTTCCATCCATTCGTTCCGAACATTTGGAAATATTCCCGGAAGTCGGGCAGCTTGACGATATCGCGTTTCAAGTTGAACATCCTTCCTCAAAATGACAAAATTTTCCAGAGTTTTGCAATTTTGTCCCTTTTCCGTGGGAAGTAAACTGTCAATCAGATCGCTGTACGTGTCCCAAAAACAATTTTCACCATCATCCTCAATTTCCGGTGCCATGACGATGGAACGAATCTTGGGAAGGTGGCGTCCATAGTCGATACCGCCATCACCATGACGACCCACCATCGGAGGAAATGCGAGGCTCAGCCGTGCCACATTTTTGATAATACAGCCCACATCTGCATATTTTGCAAAATACGTAAAATATCCAAAATCTCCAAACTGCACATCTAAACTTTTCAATTTAGAAAAACATGGCAGATTTAGGACGAAACGCGCCTTTTCTTCAAGTCCATCCGTATCGACACGAAAGCTCAGCAATTAAAGAGACGGGGCGAATTTCTTGAGCACATTCTCAAAATCGGGAAGATGTTGATTTTTCAGAGGTATCGTCAACGTCATATTCATAGGGCGGATATGTATGTACTTAAATTTCTCAAAATATGTATGTAATATGTGCTTAAAAAACACGAAAATATGCAAATAAAACATTTTTCTATTGTAATTTTCTACTGTATTTAAATTTAATTGTCCAAACCTTTAAACTTTTTAACACTCTTATCAACGAATTATTAAATATATCATTTTAATCTTTATCTAATAACCCATAATGCGACATTAGTTATACTTAGAGATTTTCAGGTGTAATTTTTTTACTAGAAAAATCGGGCAAACTGGATTTGCTAGTCGTTCACATGAATTGAACACCATTATCATGAAAATATAATTTTGAGAAAACTTTAACTTCTGAATAAAGAAAAATATTTTCACATAAAAAACCTCGAAATATGTATTCAAATAATTATTTTTAGAAAAAGGCTCGAATATGTAGGAAAATATGTGCATGTACGAAAAAAAACTCAAAATAAGTATGAAAATATGCATATGTACGAAAACCCTAAAATATGTAAAATATGGAAAACAATGTTTGAATTTTTGAGATCACGCTTCGATGGGATAACAGTACACAAAGTTTTAGTACGATCTGATTTGATATGAAAAAGTTAGAAATACATGCATATCCGCCCTCTGGTCATATTCTTCAATGGCTGATTGAACTCGATGAGAAAATTGATGGCATCCTCTGGCCTACAAGTTAGCATAATCTCCCTCAAATTTTGATACCGCAAAGTTCCTGTTTTTTGCAATTCTTGGACAAATCTTGACCCCAGGAAATCATAGCCGATCATAGAGATGGAGTTCACCCGGGTAATCGCGTCAGCCCAAGTTTTCATCCAGGTCGCAGTCAGTGGCACTGGTTCTGGTGAGAAAGTAAACAATCCGAGAGATAGTTTCTTCAATACTTTGAAAAATAGACCGTGCCGAGTTGAATATTTCTTCTCGGGGCCATCATTGTCGCAAATTGTCATGTCGATGTCCAGACATAATTCTTCCAGTGTGTCCTTAACGTGAGAAACGGTATCGAGATATAAACAGTAATCCTGGTCGGAACAGATTTCCCCACTCAGGGACAAAGTCTTAACGTGATGTCCCCTTCTCGGGTGAAGAAACCAGTTCAGATCGTTGACATACTTGACACTCCAATTGTCTTGGTCATCTTCTTTGGCTGATGGAAAGCTTATCTTCCAGTTTGGCCAATCTGCGACGTTCGGCATTTCATGAACGTATCGGTAAAATTGCATGGAAGGGTTGGTAGTGTCGGGATAATAACGAAACTTTATGGCACATTTCCTCCGCAGAATGGGAGTCACGTCTTCCTCCCAGTGTCTGCAAACTAGTCGAGCGATCTTCAAGCTTTCAAGTGGGAGCCATGAGTGGGAGATAGGACAAAATGTGGGAGATAAACTACATTTAAAAAACAGCATTCTTCGGTGAGGGTGCGACTAAAAACTATTAAACAAGAGCATTGAACAAATTTTAAAATTTAATATTTCCAACTTTTGCCTCAAATTTTGTATTTGTACTGCAATTTTAACATTACAATTTACAATTAAATATTGACACATAGAAATTAATTAGAAGTTAATTTGTATCACAGATTTTAACCTTTTGATGATCCACATAAGGTAAGATAATCGACCAATTGTCTGCGTCCGTGTTGTATTTAGCTCGAAAAACACGATTCGGAACTGGAATTAGGTTGGCTGCCATTATTTCTATTATTCTGGTACTATTTAGAAATGAAATAATTATTAGTCGTTAATTTCTTAAGGGCCCGTTCATATATTACGTCATCAAAAAAATCGGATTTTCAGACCCCCCCCCTACCCCCTTTAACATGGGCAAGATAGGCACGATATCATTAGTGGTCAGACCCCCTCCCCCCCTCTCTTGTTGACGTAATATATGAACGGGCCCTAAAGAAGAATAAATATTTGCAAATTGCAATCAAAATCACTACATCTTTGATCTTGCTTAATTTGACATCGCCAAGAATTAATGTATATTGCATTTAAAGATTGTGCCAGGGTAAGGAAATTACAAATTATTTTAAGAATTGAGTTTCGTTTAAAACGAATCGTTTTGCTTGCAAATTCTAAAAATTATACAACCTTCCTTTAATTTGTTTTTTTTTTGTTTAAATTGGACTCAGCAACGATAAAAAATAGCTGAAATCTAATTAGAATACGTAGTGGAATTAAATTTGTAAAAACTTACCAATTTTTTCCCACATGGAATTATTATTCAGCTTGCAACTCGTCACTCGGTTACTATTCAATCTGCATCCTTGCCTGAAATACGAAATACCTGAAAACGAGCTTCCTTTAAAAAAACGCCCTGTCCCAATTTGCCCACGTGCTTGCCTCATTAATATGCAATTTATGTACTCACAAACCTATTTTTAGTACCAACAATAATTTAAATTTGCATTTATTTAAGCAGCTTTAGACAACCATATATAATTGTAATTTCATAATAGATAAAAATATAATTACTTATTACGGAATTTTTTTCATAATTTTTGTTAGAATAACAGATTTCCCAAAAACCATAAAATTACTGCTGCCAATCAAATCAGGAAATATAAAATAATTAGGTTCAATTAATCATCTCACACTCCATTCATTACTCGGTGATTAAATAACTAACAAATTAAATAAATACAAATTCATACATATCACTGAACAATTACTTCCTTAATTATCAATCTGCTCCCTCAACCTGACCATCCACTCGTTCCGAACATTCTGAAATATTCCCGGAAGTCGAGCAGCTTGACGGTATCTCTCCTCGAGTTGAACATCCTCCCTCAAAAGCACCAAATTCTGCAGAGTTTCGCAACCTTCTCGTCCTTCTTTGGGCAGCAGACTGTCAATCAGGTCGCTGTACGTGTCCCAAAAATAGTTATTATATTCCTCCTCCTCCTCGTCCTCAATTTCCGGTGCCACGACGATGGAACGAATAACGGGAAGGTGACGTGCATAATCGATACTATCGTCACCATGACGACCCAGCACCGGCGGAAACGCGAGGCACAATCGTGCCACGTTATCGATAGGCGCGATGGCACGATCACCTTCGGAGAAATACGATAAATACATAAACGATCCAAAACAAAGATCCAAACTTTTCAATTTCGGAAAACACGGGAGATTAAGGACGAAACGGGTCTGTTCTTCGTCTTCCTCGGAGGCGACACGAAAGCTCAGAAATTCCAGGGATGGGGCGAATTTCTTCAGAATATCCTCAAAATCGGGGACATATCGTTTCCCCAGGGGCAACGTTACCGTCAACTTCTTCAATGGCTGGTTCAACTCTGTAAGAAAATTGATGCCCTCCTCAGACTTGCAAGTTAGCCGGATTTCTCTCAAATTTTGATACTTCAAAGTTCCCGTTGTTCCCATCTCCTGGAGAAATCTGGACCCCATGAAACCATAGCCGATCGTGGAGATGGATTTCACCCGGGTAATCGCGTCGGTCCAGGTTTTCATCCAGGGCGCCGCCAAAGTCGTTGGATTTGGGTAGATACGATTATCCATTCGTACAGAGAACTTTTTCAGTACGGGAAAAAATAGGTCTTCCCGCTGCGAATATTCTTTCTCGGTGCCACCAAGGTGGCAAATTTCCATGTCGAAGTGGATCCATAATTCTTCCAAAGTGTCCTTAAGATGGGATACGGTGTCCAGATATAAACGGTACGTCTGGTCAGAGCAGATTCTCCCATTCAAGGACAAAGTCTTCACGTCATGTCCGATTTTCGGGGTCAGAAACCAGTTGAGATCGGTGACATATTTCTCGCTCTCTTTGGGCGGTAAGGTCGGCAAGGTTATCTTCCAGTTTGGCCAAGCTGTCAGGTTTTTCATGGCATGAACGTATCGGAAAAATTTCAAAGAAGCGTTGCAAGCGCTTGGATCATCTTCAAAATTTATGGCGCATTTTCTTGCCAGAATGGGAGACGCTTCTTGGTCCCATTGGCGACAAACTAGCCGAGCATTCTTCAAGCCTCCGAGGCAGAGATGGGACAGAATTTTGGAGAAAATCTGGAAATAAAGGAGAAATTAAAGGTGGAACTAGTGGAAAATATGCATTAAATAATTTCGTATTTAGTTTAAATTAAATACCAATGGATTCTGATCCAGCGTGAAATCCAATCCATTGTCCGGGACTAAAATTTTCTCACATTTGTCCCAATTTTCGGGATAGTCTCGTCTCTAAAAGTACCACGAAAATTAATTAATCATTATTTAAACATGATGATTTTAAAAATTTAATTTTACTTCAAACGAAAAGATGGCAAGTCCACCAGAAATGTTGTTGCGGAGCTTCATGACCAGAGGGCGGATTTGTATGTATTTCTAACTTTTTCATATCAAATCAGATCGTACTAAAACTTTGTGTACTATCATCCCATCGAAGCGTGATCTCAAAAATTCAAACATTGTTTTCCATATTTCACATATTTTAGGGTTTTCGTACATATACATATTTTCATACATATTTTGAGTTTTTTTCGTACATGCACATATTTTCCTACATATTCGAGCCTTTTTCTAAAAATAAATATTTGAATACATATTTCGAGGTTTTTTATGTGAAAATATTTTTCTTTATTCAGAAATTAAAGTTTTGTCAAAATTAGATTTTCATGATAATCATGATGTTAAATTAATATGAACTACTAGCAAATCCAGTTTGCCCATTTTGCAAGTCAAAAAATTACCCCTGAAAATCTTCGAATGTAACTAATGTCGCATTATGGGTCATTAGATGAAGATTAAAATGATATATTTAATAATTCGTTGATAAGAGTGTTAAAAAGTTTAAAGGTTTGGACACTTAAATTTAAATACAGTAGAAAATTGCAATAGAAAAATATGTTTTATGTGCATATTTTCGTGTTTTTTAAGCACATATTACATACATATTTTGAGGAATTTAAGTACATACATATCCGCCCTATGTTCATGACGGTGAAAATGTCGCCAAAATTTAGCATAGTTTTCACGTTGGCATCCAGGTTTACGCTGTTTTTATAAATTCCGTCCCCCTCCTAAATTATAGCATGATTAGCATCGTAGTTAATTACTAATTAAAAAAATTCATTAACCTCTAAAGGTTTGATCCAGTAATAGTTATCTTCGCAGAAGATTTCCAAACCGAAACTCCAATTCCACTCCTCCTTGTTCCACACGATTATCCTGAAAAAGACGAATTCGCCCTGCGTCTCGGACGAGGTGAACGTATCGCCAATGGTGTACTGCAATTATTTAAATTAGCAATTAGTTAATGACACCGGCAAAAGTTTTCAGTTAATTAGAAACAAATAAATAACCATCTTTTGACGATCAACATAAGGCAAAACCGCCGACCAATTACCCGATCCCGTGTTAAATTTAGCTTGAAGAACACCATCTCAAGGTTTGATTATGTTGGTGGCCATTCTTTCGATAACTGGAAATACAAAATAATAATTAGTTGTTAGTTAGTCTTTAATATTTTAAATATTATTTATAAATTCTCTGAATTTTGCATCGTCAACAATTAATGGATTAGGAACATGCATTAGTTATCCTGAATGATGCTGTCGTAGTGAAATTCCTAATTATTTTAACAATGGAGTACAAAATTTTACAAAATTTATGAACCCTTAAAATTCCTCCGTTTAATTTCCGGGTTTTTGGACCCACACGTGATCAAAAATAAGTCAAACCCAATCGGAAAGAAGTAATGCAACTAAATTTGTAAAAACTTACCAGTTTTTCCTCAGGGCGAATTAAATTTTGAAATGTATTTAGCTCGTCACCTGTTCAATTTTGAATTTGTATCTTCATTTGAAACAATAACAAAAAAGGTGCCGTTAAAAAAACCGCTGGGTCGCAAGGTTCCCCGGCCGGTTTGCCCCGAATTTATTTTTATGAAAATAATGCATGCAATTTAATTACATTATTGATAAGAGTAAATTTGTATTTACAGAAATTTGTAAATTCCAGAAATCCATGTAAATAATACCAAAATAGGCCGGCAGTGTACAGCTGATGACGAGGTTTCTACAACTAGTAAAAAACAGTAATAAATATTGCTCCTCAAACTTGAATCGCTTATCAACCTCCAAGATAAAAATGTCTCCTAATTGTCGGGTCGGACCGTCCATCCTGAACGCGGACTTGTCCCAAATTCAGGCCGAATGTCACCGTTTGCTCGACGCTGGAGCGGACTTTCTCCACCTCGACGTAATGGATGGACATTTCGTCCCTAATCTGACCTTTGGTCACCCACTCGTCAAGTGCCTGAGGTCAAAGGTTTCGGACACATTTTTCGATATGCACATGATGGTGGCGCATCCGGAACAGTGGGTGGAGTGGAACCCATGGCTGATGCTAGTACACTTTCCACTTGGAGGCTACAAGAGATGTACTATCCTCGCATTTAGGCGTGTCACCTCATTTGCATAAATCTCAATCACCCATTTTCGGCCATACGGGCTTTCCATGTTGAGTAAACTCTATGACTCACGAATGCGTTAAAATATGTAAATGAGGTGACAGAACAGAGTACGAGGACAGTACCTGGACTTACGAGGAAAATAAGAGAAGCTGGAATGAAGGTTGGAATCGGAATCAAACCAGGCACTGATGTTGAAGAGCCCATGTCGAACTAGCCGACGTGATTCTCATCATGACTGTCGAACCAGGATTTGGGGGCATTCAATGCAATGAATGCCCAATCATTCATGGCCGGCATGCTTCCGAAAGTCGAGGCTCTTCGGCGTCAGTACCCTGAGCTGACTATTGAAGTAGATGGCGGCATTTCGTTGGCAAATATTGAGGCAGTGGCAGAGCCAGGAGCGAATATGATCGTCGCTGGGACTGCAATTGTTGCCGCCGCGGATCCGCGATCGGTTATTTCCTCGATCAAGTCGAGCGTCGGGCATGTGTTCACCAAGGTGCAGGTCGAGCGGTGATGATGACGATCAGTAATTTTTAAAAACGCTAGCTAAAAGCAATCTCCATTCCATACACTCATATGACAATATATGCATTACGTACTCCACATAAATAATGTGACACTACAAAAGCAATATGATAATTAATATGAAAAGACTTGTACCTTGAGAACAAAAAATACATAATTTTGTGTTTTGACTAAAAAACAAAATAGGTGTTTTTAGCAGAAATAACTCTGCTCTGTGTGCATGTATATGTTTTGTAGTAAAATATTTGTATTACAAGTTTTGTAATTACAGTTTTTGCTCAAGCAAGTCTCATTAACTAAATTAATCGCACTTTACATACATGTGTTCGGCTGCTAAATATTTATTACGACTTTACTTTTACCATTTAATGTTTAACTTATGGTCGCGCTGATATAGCGCTGCATTTGAGAAGAGTGTGGGTCCCATGATTTCTATATTTGGCAAGTCAATGTCCACGTGTTCTAGGAGAACAGCGACGCCGATTTTGATCTCCATTTGGGCCAAGTTTCTACCCGGGCAGATGTGAAGGCCAGCCCCCCACGACATTAGGACCATTGGGTTCATCATTTTTGTCCCATTTTCACTGCTGTCATTACGAATTAAGACTAATGCATTGCTGATAAATATGTGTTGTCCATGGTAAATTATGCATTTACTAATATTTTACCTTAAAAACCTTTCTGGCCGAAAGTCTGTCGGATTATCGAAAAATCTGTCTCCTGCTCGTTTCTTGTTGTGTAGAACTTCGGCACATACCTGTTCAAAAAGTTTTTCTTCATTCAAAAATCAGAAAAATTATTCATTTTATCGTTAATAATATGAAGGAACTTTTTCTTTTCCCTTCCCGCGCGGTATCCTTCCCATGCTATTAGTATGGTAGGGATACGAGCGCGGGAGGGTAAAGAAAAAGTTCCTGGATATTATATCGAGAATTTGAGAATAAATATTTTTCATTATTCATTTTTTACTCATTTTATCTCAAGCTCCCCTATTAAATAATATATATGATTACTCTATCTATGAAATATAGCGTTAAAAATTAATAATAACTACAATTATTCATTCAATCTTAATGAATATGAAATGAATAAATATTTACTTGATATTTATTCATTCGAAAATTTAAAAAAGATACTAACCCATTTTTCATGAATTTAGCGAATAATGAATAAATGAATGTGAACAGGTTTACACACTTCGGAACTCACCGCGATTACGTCTGCGTCTCCAATGTAGTAATCTCCGATATGTTTCCTGGAAACGAATATTTTATCAAAATATTCATCAAATTTTTTACAACTTTCATTAGGCACTCACTTATTCTTAATTTCCCTGTTGACCGGAAGAGCGGTAACGTTCATTCGTGCCGATTCCAACACGCATGCGTGGACGTAGGCATCCTTGACCAGCGCGTCCAGCCGACCCGCTCTTAAAATTGGGCCAGTTTCTTCTCGAAATTTATGGTAGGCTTCAGGATTTGAGGCCAGGTCCAAAATTGTGTTCGAAACTCCCGCCGTGGAGCTTTCCGAACTGACGTAGAGCAGGCAGACGATAGCTCTGCAAATATCCTCCGTGCTGAAGGGTTCCCCGCTTTCGGGATGTCTCCAATCTGCCGCTCGTCTAAGGAGGGGAGCTTGCGAGGTTGATAATGACAGATCCTGATGCCCTTTGGATATGTGGTAGGGTCCTATGAGTGTACTAAAACCCTGAAGTGGTTTGACTCCATGGCCACATTTGCGCCCGCCACACCCACTCAAAAATGCCCAAAAAACGCTTTCACTCCAGGTTTCACTCATTCAAATCCACGCCAAAAATCCAATTTTACTCGGATTTTGAAATTTCTTTCACCATTACACTCCCAGATAGTTGCTTTCTTCAATCCAATGTCAAACTCAATTTTGATGATGATTATTTCGCAGGCATAATTTGCGTTGTGGATTACTACAACAATGCTCATTCAGAATTTTAAATTTTAAAAATACTAATAATTTCGAAAATATTGAGTTTGATATCGAATTGAAGAAAGCAACTATCTGGGAGTGTAATGGTGAAAGAAATTTCAAAATCCGAGCAAAATTGGATTTTTGGCGTGGATTTGAGTGAGTGAAAACCGGAGTGAAAGCGGTTTTTGAGCATTTTTGAGTGGGTGTGGCGGGCGCAAATGTGGCCATGGAGTCAAACCACTTCAGGGTTTTAGTACACTCATAGGACCCTACCACATATCCAAAGGGCATCAGGATCTGTTATTATCAACCTCGCAAGCTCCCCTCCTAAGGAGAGGAACCATACAAATTTGTACACTCTTAGAAATCCGGTATTAAAATAATATCAAGAAGTACATACGCTGTTTAAAATCTGGTAGATCTTACTACTCTGTACTCATATTAATTTGGCAATAGGCACTTTTTCATTATCATAATATTACTGAAAGGTAATGCTCTCATACCTATATGCACTCCGGCCAGTAATAACTTAATACCAGTTTTCTAAGAGTGTATTAATAAGTAATACGTGGTAGGAATCGCTCCGTATTAAAGTTTTAGAACCATATTTATAGCAAATTTTTACGGATCAGGATAATTTTAGTACCAAGCGGTGGCAACTTTAAGAACGAGGAATAAATACCTGTGTGACCATGCCAGATTTCTAAGAGTGTATGCATATGTATGCATTATGGAAAAATCATGTAAATCAGACGGTCAACCTGAGCAGGATACTGGAATCCAGGTCCAGATTTGTTTGGAACTCTTCCACGATGGGACTAATCCGCGTAACGATTCTGTTCGTAATCATGTTGAGCCGAGATTGGAAGAAGAATCGGATCAGACAGTGGGGGAGGAGGTAACAGAAGGACAGGATGCGGTTCACAAGGGCGGTGAGTTGTCGGAGGTCATCCAGCGTGCCGGGTGGGGGCCCTGGGTATGGTTACATGTATTTATCAGTGTGTGAATATGACTTTAGCCAGTACTCTTAAAAATAATGAGGGTATTTATTACGAGTTCTCATCGTATCGCAACATAACTTTTTCGAAATTGCGAATTTTACGAAGCAACGATGTGAAAACACGTCGCAAGTGATAAAGTTTGGAAAATTTGGTTCAAAAGTCTCGAATTTTGCAATGGGAAAAATTCGTAAATTTCCATGAGTTATCGAAGTTTTGAGTCTAAAATTTATCAAATATGTATGAAGTTTTTTAAAATCGGAAGGCCAAACTTGCGAACTTTATTTTTTTGCGAACGTTGTTAATTATGCCAACTCGAAATGAATACCCTCAATGTCACTTATTTGAGGAGGAAATGCAATATAAATTCAATATTGAGTATTGGTAAATTCTGCTTAACATATATAATAGAATTGAGAATGCATTAACTTTTCAAAAAAGGTACATTATTTTTCTAAAAGTGTAATAAAGCTTAGCTTACGGACTCCCAGAAGAACACGGGCAGACGAGTTTGTGACATATTCGAATGAGTCATTTGACAGGTCAACCTTACCCCCGTTTTTCTTGGCAGCCTCCTTCACCCGGGTCACCATTTGTAATGCCTGTCAAGATTAGAAAGGTTTAGAATATATGCAAATTTCAAAAATATTTGAGCATTTGTCCTGAGTTGACCTATGTACCTCTTCATGCAGGATTTTGTGGACCCTATTTGGCTGAAAATTTAATATTTGTTTATAAATTACGCTTTGAAAATCTCATAATTCGAAAAGAAATAGATATGTACTCTCCTTCCACGAGGATTGAGCTTTTACAGAAATTGAGAATTCTGAGAAACTATGCCACTCTCAGTCTCAAATTCCCTCAAACTATGGTGACGGGTAACTTTGAGACTGTCAGTAGCATAGTTTCTCAGAATTCTCAATTTCTGTAAACGCTCAATCCTGCGTAGGAGGAGAGTATAATATATGTAAATACTTTACATCTTTAAAGAGAACAGAAGTTCTGAGTATCCCAACAATATTCTTTAGTGGCCATTGGCTATCGAACCCAAATGCTTGCAGGATGTAGGCACCTATCGAATAAGATAAAATCTTAAAAATCACTCTTAAAAATAATGTCACGATTTTGAAAATATTTAAATGCACTCCCAATTTTACACTAAATAAACTGTATCAAATCCGGTGTAGGCTTTACTCCCGTCAAGTTATCTTTACTCCAGATTTCTTAATATACATAAAATTGAGGGTGCATGTATCCGGGTTACATTATTTTTTAAAGTGTACTATACAGGGTGGTTTAAATGTCAGGTCACAATGGAAAATTTTTCAATGGAAAAAATGCGTAAATTTCCATTAGTTACGGATTTGGGATTGAGATTTTTATTAATTTTTATCAAAAATTATTGAACACTGATGACAAAATTCTTAAAATATTGAATTTCAGGTGCAAAATTTCAGTAACTAACGGAGATTTGCGAATTTTTCCCATTGAAAAATTTCTAATTGTAACTTGACATTTAAACCACCCTGTATGCATATTTATTATCAAAAAATGGAGTATTTTCAGTTTTTCTCTTACCATTTGTTCCCGGCATTAGACCAAAAATATGGTGGAGTTCGAGAATCCTGCTCCCACAAAAGGTTAGCTCGGTCAAGGGTCCGGGGAAATCTGAGACGTCGATGGAAACCGTGGAGTAATCGAAGATCGGTTGGAGAACCCGGTTCGGAAATGCGGACAGGATTTTCTGCGTGCGGAAGTAAACTAGGGGCAAAATGGAACGTTTTAGCTTTCGGAGATCCCCTTCTAGCGCGTGGAGTCGACCCATCTCGCTCTTAATGGAGAGCGGCAGGCGAACTATGGCTTCCGTCCTTGGAAACAAGTTACGAAATTAGTTTGGATGAAACAATAAATGGTTTTTAGGAAATCCAGATTTTACTTTACGAAGTTGTGCTGGTTTAACCATGTCTTTTGTAGGTGTGTTTTTTTGTGTTTTTGTAGTAGTGGGTTTGGATGTTTCCGGGGTGGTGGGTTTTGGTATGGTTTCAGTATTTTTGTGTTGGTGGTTTTCATTGTTTTTGTACTCGGGAATTAGTGTCACTGCGCTTTATCTACAGTATGTAACTTATTTATATTATTGAAGTGGTTTTGATGTTTTTGTGCCCTTACATATTTTTAAGGGTAGGGTAGCCGTGTTTTTAGATAAGTCCAGGTATACAGTCGTTCCACGTAAGATTGAACTTGTACCGAAATTGAAAAACTATGGCACTGATAGGCTCAAAGTTCCCTGTCTAAGGAAATTTTACCCTGACAGCACCATAGTTTCTGATCAATTTCGGTAAAAGTTCAAACCTGCATGGAATAAGGGTATACATTCGATTTACATAGTTTACCTTATTTGCATAAAGAAAACAAAACCCTTACCAATGATTACAAAGTGTATCCGGATGTCCCGGCACTGGCAAGATTATCGAGGACGAAATCCCTTCCAGCGGAGTTTGCGATCTCAACCCCCAGAACTTGCCCACCGCCGTGGTCACTGCTTGCAAGAAGACCGCCAAGTGACTCACGCCAAGCCGTCGGCTCACCTTTTTAAACGCAGAGATCGGCAAAGACTGGGCGGACACAACGTGAGACAAGGTTTCCCCACCTGTTCAAAAAATATTTCTTTGCACAAAGTTATATATTAATTATTCATGATTTATTCATTTAATCTCATACCCGCCTTATTAGAGGAACGTTTCAATTTACCACATTAAGCATGGAGTGAAAAAATTTTAACAAGAAAATAATTCATTTAGATATTCATTATGAATATGAAATGAATATTTATTCAATATTCATTATTTAATGAATATTTAATGAATGATGAATAATGAATATTTACTGGATATACATATATAAAAATTTTGATTTAAATCAAAAAAATTTAAAACATTATTCACCCATTATTTATGAATTTTTTAAATAATAAATTATTACTGTATTCATTCTTTATATAATGAATGAGTGTGAACACTACCTTTTTCCTCTTCCCCCGTGTCCCACAGGAGGGGGAGCGACTTGCCCTCAACTTCCGTAAAAGTTAGCCAATCCGCCATACTAATTAAGGCAAGAATTGTGATGAGTGGGCTAAGTAGCGCGGGAAGGCGCGAGGGCGCGGCTGGATCGCGGAGAAATATTGGTTCCCGGATCGGTGGATCACAAATGTCGGCGAGAAGTTTCATCATGCTGAATCCGTCGGCCAAGACGTGATGGAATTTTAGGAAGTAGACGTCCTTATTGGCGACACCGCGAAGGATGAACACTTTCCAGGGGCTCTGCCCCCTTGGGAATTCTGCCGCGAGAATTAGCTCCTCTACTTTATCGAGATCTGGGTCATCCAATGTTACCACTATGGGTGCTAAGGATAGAAAATGAGACATTTTAAAACTCCCGCGACTTAAAGATATATGTAAGAAGTCTCCCATTACGCGCGGCCGCCGCCGATAAAATTGTTCAACCTAGCAAAACCGCCGAAAGAATCACGCTAATTAGCGCTGCGGCCGCCGAAAATTGAACGACATGTACAATCCTCGTATTTAGGAGTGTCACCTTATTTGCATAAATCTCACAATGCCCATATTCAGCGATGGGGCATGTTGAATAAACTATCGCGAATGCATCAAAACATGCAAATGAGGTGACCGGCTATAAAAATTCGGTAGTACATACCTTGCCAAACAATGTTTTTCCCCTCGTCCACCCCGATTTCTGAGATGTGCCGGGTAACATCGAAGTCTTCCTCGTCCGCCCAGAAACTATACCCCATCCAGGTTTTCGGAAAGTAGCGAAGTCTCTCATTTTCCCGTTCTTCCACCACCTTTTCAAACTTGCCGCACACCTTGTCCAGCGGCACGTGCTTATCCAGCACGCACGTGACCACCACTGAGCAGTTGATGCTTGGTAGGAGGGATAGAAGGGTGCACGGGGCAGGAATTAGCTTCTTTACCTTAACCCGTGTCACTCTGGCTGAAAAAGAGACGATAAGCCGAACTAGAGAAAATACCAGGTAACAAATGAATATGAGCGGGACTCCCGCGCAGGCGCAAGCCGCCCGCCTGGCACTGAGCATTGGATTCATGGCTAAAACAAACACTGGTTGACAACGAAGGGCAAGTTGGACCTACTTATTGTATATATGCAGCTATGAAATATGTAAATATTTACCTCGGTACGTTAAAATGAGATCAAAACATGTCCATCAGTGCTAACGGCTGGTTGATAAGGAAAATTGCCATGTGCTATGTAAAGTTAGAAACCATTGACACGGGTTACTTTTGAGCTTGATTAATGAAATTCTTCTGCGCAGTTGTGTACTATGATTATATAAATTGAATAAAAACGTTTAGTTAGTTATGTATGATTAAGTAGTTAGGACGGACTTTTCACTCGAAAGGGCAGGTTATTTGGTCTGAATGAAATAACTCTTTCCTTGGAATTACTCGAATTTCACTTTAAAGTGTACCAAAATGGATGTGTCTTTCTTCAAATTAATTGTAAAATCTTGAAAAAGTTTTGCTCTCGTCTTTTTTTAAATTTTTAGCTTGAAAATATGTACATACGTCCTGAATACTAGGCTTAAGCTTAAGAAAGTTTTTTTTAAGAACAATGATTGGTTTTTTCTCCTTCTCGCCGACTTTTCTGTGGTCAGCTCTTCTGACTGGTTTCTTGCACTGTTAGAAATTCGGTATCGTCACGCAGGCATTGATTTCTCAGTATTAAAGTTGCTACTGTAAGGTGTTATACCGGTCCGTAAAAATTTGCTACCAACATTGTAAAACTTTAATGCCGGGTTATTACTATACGGTATTATTTATCAATTCCACGCTGATATAGTCATACATATATGAATACCTCCTGGTATTATTTTAACACTAGATTTCTAAGAGTGTGCAATTGATAACAGTTGAAACGTTCATGGACAAAAGAATCGATTCCTTTGAGTTGATACGTATTTATGTATATGCATTCCTACCTAAACAATGCATTGCAATGGAATTTATTATGCAGATTGTATTTTAGCACGTGTTTTTTTTTCTTAATTTGGTAGCAATTTACAGTCATACATGTTTATTTATGTACCTGTTATGAATGAGGAACGAAAGCATTAACACGTGTATATCTCATTTACATATTAACTACTTGAATTTCTTTGTTGAAACGAAACCTGTATTTGAGAGTTCAGTCCTTTTTTATGTTATTCGTATGAAGATTTTTTTCATGTTGATGTTATTCACAGAGTAGGATTTGACCATCCGGGAGCATTGTCACATTGCAGGAATTCTGAGGAAAGTTACAGAATTGCAGGAAAATTACAATTTTCAGGGTTGGCGGAGATAAATATATATTTGCATAAATTTTCTGCGCGTTTTCTGCTCTTCGCATGCAAATATCTCTACCAAACGTGTCCATTGGGAGACAGTGCTATTTGAAAATTTCATACTAATTTAGTTGGTTATCGATTGACATAAAAATGGATATCGAATGTTCTTGAATTCTTTTTTAACTTTCTGCTAACAAAATCGTCTGATGTTTGTATTATATACGGAAAGGAGGCATGCTGAAAGGTGTATTTACATATTTAGATGTACATCTCCGCATGGGCTGTTTTTTTCACAAGGATGGAATATTCTATAGATGTGACTAGACTTCTTTATTTCCGTAAATATGTATGTATGTACACTGTTAGAAATCTGGTTATCTTACACAGATAAGGTTATCTCAATATTATGCAAATATGTATGTATGCTATTAAATATGTATCGCTGTGAATTAAAATCTTAAAAATCGGTCCGTAAAAATTCGACTGGGAACACAATGTACTTATTTATGTATTTATTAATTTTGAAGTATGTAAATATGTATCTATTTATGTACGACACGCTGGAAAAACCTCATTCTTAAAATTGTTAGGGCCATCCATATATTGGGTCATCAAAAATTCCCGATTTTAACCCCCACCCAACGTATACATTAAGGGATTTATAACATGAGAAAGACCTAATCCACTTACCCACTAAAATGATGACATAATATATGCATATTCCCATGTAACGATTTATTCCACAATCAATTGTATACATACATACACGGCTAATTAGAAAATATGAAATTGAGAAAAGTAAACTTGTGGTACACTCTTGTCTACCAAAATGGTATGTATTTATTACACCGGTACTGGTAATAACCGCCATTACTTTATTGTAATGCGGTGGTAATAAAAACTTACCACTCAGAAACAAACCATTACCAATCCAGGGGGAGGTTATTACCAAATATCAATATAAGGACTGGGTGTAACTCTACTAAATTTTTTACAATGTACATAATAAAATTTCTATAAAAAAGTCATTTTCCATAAATTGTCTACACTTTCGCCCTGGAAAATGACAGCTCCGTCAGACCTTGGTACATTTCTTCGCGGGCCACAATTCGTGCCTCGACGGTGTCATCGATGGCTTCGTTATCTTCCAAAATGCCGCCCAAACTGGTTGGGAGGATGGACTTGGAAACTTCAGCGTGCAATGATTCGTATGACGAGTGGACGAAAACCTGAGCAAAAAAATGATTAATCCTTTAACGAATAAGATTAATTATGTACACGATAATGCACTGATTCGGGGATATTATTTATAACATACTTATAAATATGTTTTGGTTATAGCGCGGGGGGAGTAATTCAGGAATAAATTAATAAAACCCAAAAAACTGAATGATCCAAAAGTTAACATTGCGTTATATTGGGAAATATCCAAACTTTCGGCAAGAAAATGTTCAAATTTAACGTTTGGTTGGCATAAGAGAAATCCCTTAAAATTGGAACAACTCTAAAATGACGATTCTCTTCATCACGAATTAAAGAGTAATTTAATTTGAAAGGAATTCAGATAATCTGGGACAAATTTTGACTCACCCGTTTTCGAATTTTCGCCGGAAGTAGAATCTTCAGCAGAGAGAAAATTTGATTGCACACTGATCCCATGTTCACATAATGCAACTCTTTAACCCGAATGGGAGCGTTAACTAAATAAGAAAAAACATATATTTATTTATATTCACCTACCATTCATCGCTCTGGGTTTTAGATAGATATGTCTTTCTTCATAAAAATAATAAATTCGTCGTAGTTCATAAAATTCGACAGATTTTATTGCATTTTTCTAATTTTTTTTTTCTGTGTACAATTGAAAAACAATTCAATCGATCAATTTTCATGTGCTGTCGAATTATTTTTCTTAAAAGGGGCCATTTAATAAAATTATCAGCGTGATGTGATTCCTAATTTGTGGCTTGATTGTTTGATATAACTCGTTATATAATCCCGGTGCAGCTTGAAGAAAGATTCTGTTGTAAGTATTTATTGAAGCCACGCCCCGGATCGGACAGATAAATTACGAAAATATTTTATTTTTTCCAAGAAACCGTCCCACTTCCCCCCTTGAATCCCATCTCGTTCAAACTTTGCAAAATATACATATTTATGTACATAGTTGGCCCTCACCTTATAAAAGTCTACAATCATGCGGATCCTGGCTGGAGTAAAGATCCTAAGATTGGAGATTTTAACCCCGCCAAGATCATGGAGCAGGACAACGCCCTCGTCCGCAGAGGACGGCACGCTTCGGATGGCGTCCTCCAGTTGAAGGAACGCAAGGGATAACAAGTCATCAAAGTCACCACGGGCGTAATCCCATCTCCCTGAAATATGTACACTCTAAACAAAGTTATGCAAAATTTACGCACATTTGAGTAAATACGTACAGTAATTTGCAATCTAAATAAAAATGAGTAAAATTTAATCAAGGTAAAATTTGTCCAACATCGAGTAAATTTTACTCATTTTTATTTTGAGTGTGGTAAAATTTGTCCAACTGCTTCCAGAATTTTACACAATCCTTGTGTCACCCTCTGTATTTTACTCAACCTTGAGCAAATTTTACACCACTTTATTTAGAGTGTGTCATTTTTTACTGTTAAAACTTGAGCCTATGTAACTTACCAATTGAGTCGAGAAACACGACACGGTTATTTTTATCTCTGTTTCTCAGTTTGTTCGTAATACCCGCCCCGAGAAGTTTGCATTTCGAGGGAATAGACCGCTCTGTCCTGGCGGGATATTTGAAACAATGGATGGCACAGTAATTCTGGATCTGCATAGCAGCGCCGTAGCGACGGTGGAGAGAGGTGGAGAGACACTCTCCAGGCCGTACGGCCCGAGGGGCCGTACCACCAGGGTCAACAATATAGTACACTAGGCAAATCAGGGTCAGAAATGAAGTACACTAGGTAAAATCAGGGTCAGAAATGAAGTACACTAGGTAAAATCAGGGTCAGCAATAATGTACACTAGGTAAAATCAGGGTCAGCAATAATGTACGCTAGGTAAAATCAGGGTCAGCAATAATGTACGCTAGGTAAAATCAGGGTCAGCAATAATGTACGCTAGGTAAAATCAGGGTCAGCAATAATGTACACTAGGTAAAATCAGGGTCAGCAATAATGTACACTAGGTAAAATTAGGGTCAGCAATAATGTACACTAGCTAAAATCAGGGTCAGCAATAATGTACACTAGCTAAAATCAGGGTCAGCAATAATGTACGCTAGGTAAAATCAGGGTCAGCAATAATGTACGCTAGGTAAAATCAGGGTCAGCAATAATGTACACTAGGTAAAATCAGGGTCAGCAATAATGTACACTAGGTAAAATTAGGGTCAGCAATAATGTACACTAGGTAAAATCAGGGTCAGCAATAATGTACACTAGGTAAAATTAGGGTCAGCAATAATGTACACTAGCTAAAATCAGGGATTCAATAATTTTCGGGTGCATATGAGGCCGTACCACGGCAAAACTCTCCAGGCCGGACAAAACGTCGCTACGGGCCTGCTGCATAGGTATGAATTTATGCGGTTTTAGAATTTGATATTTATGAAAATTCTTAGAAATCTAAGGTCAAATGACAAAACCGACATGACAAAACTTTAATACCATTACTTATTGTTGATAGAGTCATAAGTACGTGAAAAACGCTTTGCATACATGGATTTCTAAGAGTGCATGAAACCTTTGCGGAAGAGTAATCCACCTAACCTGTTTAAACGTTTCTGGTACGTCGTATTTCTTAAATGTGCAGAAATGCAGGAGGAAAGCATCCTCTAGAAAAAAGTTGATGGGTCTGAGCTCCTCGTCTTCTGTAAATAAGTTAATAGAAATTTAGATACATATACATACATACATATTTATATTACACAATTTTGTGTTTTACACTTTTATTAAAAGTAATGTCACCCTTGTGCAAAGTAAAGACAGTCTGAATTCGAGACTAAATAAACTATCCAACATCAACCTTATAAACAGTCAAGTGTACTTTACTTAATTTACAAGTCAAACTGCACTTATGTACTTTTCAAAAAGGTAACATTATTTTTAAGAGTGTAAGTAAAACGCACGCAAAACGAGTCGCCTTAATTCAGCCACGCAGAAGCTTTCCTGGCCGGATTTGGTTTCTTTGGAAGGAGGAAATTCTGAGACACAACTTCCAGCCATGCTGTCCAAATATTTCAAAGCAGTACTAAATACTTATCAGATAAAAACTGATCCGTTTTTCACAATAAATTGAATGGATATGCTATCAAAGTGTATTGACAGGCAGCACAAACTACTTATTGGCAACTGAACTGAAAGCTGCCAATCAAGTTCGGACACATGCTGCATAAATACAAATGTATATATTTGTGTAATGAGAAGCTGAACGCTAAAAATTTAATTGTGTAGATAAATATTGTGTAAATATGTATGTATGCATGTGTGCCAGTGTGGACAAGGTCTTACTATGCGTTTTCGTTGCGTAATGCTGACTTTTCTTACACTCAAACTAAGGTAGTAATGAATCATTACCATGCGGAATGACTATGTGTCTCTACCACGTCGGTTACGATTTGTCGTAGAGATGGTAATAATAAGTTCAGGGAAATTCAAATTTAATACATAATGGTATTCACTTCCTTAATATTTGGTAATGAATTTGAATTTCCTTGAACTTATTATTACCATTTCTACGACAAATTGTAACCGACGTGGTAGAGACACATAGTCATTCCGCATGGTAATGATTCTTATCTACCTTATTTTGAGTGTGTGCAAATGTCGCGCTTCGCGTGCAAAACAGGTTTCGCATGAAAAAATACAAAATTTGCGTCATAGATGTGAGATTTCTTATGTATCAATTTGATGCCACACCTGAGATCTGGCATTCGTATAATTAATAAATTAATTAATTTGGATTTTTCTCATGTTAAAATTCCCTACTCCTTCTATTTACGTTGCGTGGGCGGATGCTAAAATTGAGAATTTTTCACGACGTAATATAAATATGGATGGTCCCAGCCCTTTTAGACCAATTAATTCTATTTGGATCATAAATAGATAATCGGTAGGAATTACATATGTATGCATCGTCCATACACTCAAAACAAAAATTTGTCAAATCAACACCGCCGGTGTCAACATATGGCTTAACCGCCTTGGTTAAAATGTTGGTTCCGCGTAGTGTTGCCGGTGAGGTGAGCTAAACTCACCTCAACTCACGTGAGCTGAGTTATGAGCTGAGCTGAGCTTGCCTTAAATGAGTTGAGATGAGTTGAGCTCATGAGCTAAACAAGCTGAGGTGAGTTGAGGATGAGGTGAGCTGAACTCACAACCCAGCTCATTTAGCCAAGAAGCAGGTTTCCCATACATGGGGACGAGAATAAATGCGCGATTCTCTTCCACTCGTACATATGTACATAAGTACACAACCTGATGCCTGATTTAGCACGTCGCATCTTTGCTCCTGTCTAATTAATTACCAATTTTTTTTACACAATCAAGACCTTAACCCCGATAAGAATTTCTTATTGCCGAAATTTTTATAAAAGTCAACTTTAGTATAAATGTGATTGCTAACTAGGCAAATAAAGGTCGTGAATATTTTTGTAATCCATGGTCAGAGTGTCAATAATTGTGCATGTCGCAAATTTCTACTTCTTTTTGGTAGTAAATTAATAGTATTAATTAAATCTTACCATTCGTAGGTGTTTTTTTAAGTTTTTAAATAGGTCATACAGCTTTAAAGTTCACGATCAGGTTGCAAATAATCCGACACTAACAATTTTTTTTATGTTCAAGTAATAAATAGTAGAAAACAATTTTAAACTGCGAACAGATTATTGTCTAATGGTATGTGATCTTTTGTATAGATAATACAATTATATTTCAATGCAAATCCAGCTAATAAATTTATACAATTTAAATCTGTATATATTTTAGTATTGAGCTGCGTGCTCAGAAGCAACAAATGAGCTCAACTCACCTCAGCTCACCTCAACTCATTTAAAGTGAGGTGAGCTGAGCTGAGTTTTTGTAAACAAGCCAGCTCAACTCACATAACTCATTTAAAGTGAGGTGAGCTCAGCTTGCCTGAAAACTCACCTCACCTCAGCTTGTGGCAACACTAGTTCCGAGTTATGATGATTTTCATATCGGTAGTTATATTTAATGTTATGACCGGACGGAAAAATTTCATTACCACTCGGAATCACAATTGTAACCAAGGCGGTTAAGTCATATGTTGACACCGGCGGTGTTGATTTGACAAATTTTTGTTTTGAGTGTACAACTGGTAAACAACATGCTAATTGGTCGGAATTCTTTATGTTAATACTGTTTAAATGTTATTTTTTATATCATTATCCTTTTATCTTTTCAATTTAACTTTAATCGGAGAAGAGGTTGGACAGTTTTAATTTTACGTTATAATGTATTTCTTACTTAAGTTTTCAATAAGTTGTTGTGTTCCTGAATGTCAAACTGGTCAGAGTAAATCTGGTTTACCACATACATGTATGTACATATGCATGTACGTCGAGTTTTCATACTAGGCAAGAAAGTAAATAATTTGCACTATTAGTAATTAGTAAGTACATTAAAAACTTGTGGTTGGCCAACAAGGGTATGTATTTATGTATAGACATATTTATGCACTTCATCCCTGCCAACACTGACAATGAAACCTATTTGTTTCTCGTATGCAAAAAAATGTATAAATTGCTTACCTACATACATAGACGTCCATTTTTGACACAATTTCGCTTGAGCTCAGGATTGATGCTATGAATGGATTCGATATCATAATAAATATTTTTAATTAGAAGTAAAATCAACAAGGCGTAATGTAAATATACGGCTTGTACTTGGCGTATTTGTTTAACGTTAGTTCTAAATTCATTTACTCTGTGCTTCCACTTGCCTGCTTTCACAGGAACCAACAATGGATACACGTGAAAGGAAATACATATTTTCTTTATTAAATTAACTGACGTCACGAAGTGCGAGAAACATTTCCTCTGCATTATTCTTAGGTGAGGCTATGCATGGTTACGGAAAAATTGAACAACTACGAATTCCGTAAATGTCTGATAAGTGAACAGGTGTATCATCCTAGAACGTTTAGTTTATTTTTCAACCGATTTAGACAGTTTATAATCTAGATCTGCAGATTTTCTGGTGATATTTAAATACTTGTTGAAGAAAACTGTAGGGGGTATATTATTGACAGATAAGAGAACGAAGGTCTAATTCAAAATCAAATAAAAATTGTGCAAACCCATGATCTCGGTAATCTTTCATTTAAAGTTGAAATCATGAAGATTGGTTGAGTAATGAGCAAGTTTCCAGTTTGGCAAAAAATCGCGTTGTTAATGGTAAGAGTTAATGGTAAGAGTTAATGGTAAGAGTTAATAATTATGAATTATCATAATGGTAATACCAAAGCAATGACAATTTGTAACAAACTCAGAAGAAAACAAGTAACAAAATCAGAAATTCCTACAAATGTAGTTTGTTTTGCTAATTGATTTTGTTACATATTGACTATATCAATATTTCCAATTAAAAGCTTAACATAAACTAAACCCAAGGATAAGATTGGCTAAGCGAGATTTGGTTATGTTCGATTAAAAAGATGAAATATTACCATAATAATAATAATAATTGTATCTTATTAGATAGTAGTACCTAGTCGTATACACTCAAGTGTCAATAGCTGATTGCTAAAAAACTACGCCACAGAATTAAAATCTGATAAGTGCATTAGATTCGCCATGCGATTTACATTATGATTCACTATGGACTTTGTAATTTTTGAACATCTGGATAAATATACAGGAAATTGAAGAGAAGCAGGCGGCAATAGTTTTTCACAAAAAAAAATCCAAGAAAAATAGTGAATTTGACATGTGCTGAAAAAGTCAAAGGT